TTTCGACCTAATAAAAAATTCTAGAGAAAAAAAAATGGACAATTCCTCGCATGCAACAGAAATTCAAAAAACATCCCTTTCGAGAAGTTCTCAGAAATTATCAGTGATTATCAGTGGTTATCACTGGATTATCACCAGGACAACTTCTTATTTTCATTTTTTCCCCCTGCGAGGTATTTAAGATTTTAGAATAAATTATTAACGTCAATGGATGGACTGAAACACTGGATTATTGAATGAAAATGAAATACTCAAAGAAAAATGAGAACCACGTTACTTCCCCTTCCTCGCGGATCGCTCGTAACACGGGGTGACTATAAGAGCGTTTTGCCGAGGTGGGGAAGAGATGAGTTGCGTACAAGCTCATACAAAAGTCGTGTGACAAGCCTACCCTCTTCTTCATCGTCTCCGTCGCTCATGTTACGTTTTATATCTCGACAAGTACAATCATATAAAAAAGTTTCTCGCGCCAAAAACAAACACACGTATTGCACGCCTTCACTAGAAATTTGGATGTCTACATGTGTTTCTCTTCGAAATGTCAAATATTCACACTTGTCAACAGAAAAGATTGAGAATTGGGTGGAAGAAAAAAAAATTTCAATTTCTCATCGTCTTCACTTGAGTCATGCACTCTACCCCTCTCGTCCCCCCTCCCCCCTTCCCAGCGCTCTTTTCGGGTTATCCTCATTGGTCATTTGGAACGAGAACGAAAGACTGAAGTCGTCCAGGTTATCAGTGAGAGGACTGCTTGACCAGGATGCAAGAGCAATAAATAAGTGGTGCTACCACTAAACTTCAACTGATACCGGTGAACACTTGGAAAATGTTTTATGCATCGTTGAAATATTTTCAGTGTCTTCTCAGTATTGAATAACATGCAGAGATAAATACTTTTCTAATTCCAAGAGCTCAAGACGAATACACATTTTGGAATTTCAATATGTGAATTGTGATGTAAAGTAATTTTTCGGGAATACCAGTTTTGTCAATGGCATTCCACTCGATAAAAGCGATTCTGAGAATAATTTCGTTATGTACTGAATACCTAATCTAATTCCAGGATATTTTCACGGATTTTTGGGATTATGATATTCCCAGAGTTGTTGAAAAAATTGTACCTCCAGTGTATCTTGTTCGTATGTTGGAATATTGAAAAAGATGGATTTTTGAATTTCGAAGGGGAAATGTGAGAATCCATCAGCTTCAGAGACAGTTAAAAAAATAGTTCGACTTACCCTTGATCCATTCTATCAACAGGTCCTCCAGGTCCCATCATGGGGTGTCCGGGGCCCATGGGTCCACTCATGGGATGACCTCCTCCTCCTCCAAAGGGGCTTCCTGGGGGTATTCCGTACTGTGGGCCACCGAAGGGTTGGCCAGGCGAAGGAAAATGAGGATTTCCAGCTCCAGGTGGTACGAAAGGTGGCCCTGAAGAGCCGGGTCTTCCAACAAATTGTGGAGGACCACTGGAGGGCGATCCAAAGGGACTTGGTCCTGGCCCGTTGTATGGGGGACCAGTATTGTTGGGTGGCGGTGGAAAACCACTTTGATTTTGGGGTGGACCAGGCCCAGGGGTGGATGAACCACTTGGTGCAGGTGATGCTGTGTACTGGGGTGTTGCTGAACCAGGTGGTGGTCCCTGATAAGGTGGTGCACTTGCAGGACTTCCTGCACCACCTGGAAATGGTGAGGGTCCTTGGAAGCCTCCAGCATTGCTTGGAGGACCCCCAGCACTGTTATAAGGGCCACCACCTTGGCCAACGGAATTTGGCGTGAATGGAGATGCCTCCGAGCCTGGTGGTGGACCCTTCCATGAGGCCGGTGTTCCTGGATCCTCCAGTGTGGTTGTAGCTGCCAATGGAGTGTTCAAGCGGCTACAGCCTTTGAACAACAAAATGGAAAAGAAAATATCAGTTTTAGTTTTGTCGTTGTCACAGCTTTTGCAACATTATGATCAATTGATTAATTATAATTGCAATTCTCTTCAAATCCCTCGGATTGATTCTATGGTGAACACAGGGGAGGTTATAATTTTGTTTTTAGTAAACACAAACTTCTGATACATATGACGACTGAATATACATCTCATGAAAACATAAATAATTTAAAGTATATCACAATCAATGAAAATTACCATTATTAGTTCCATTGGCCTTCATGGTTTTTTTTCACAAAAATCCTCACTCCACCTCACCCATCGCGCAGCCCCAAAAAAACCAATCACTCATAAATTTCACCTTTTTCTAAAACTTGCACTGATGAAATGTGGCAAAAAAAAAATGACAAAAAAAAAGAACTGAAAAAAAATCACTGCAACGCGCAAATAAAAAATCAATCGAAACTCCAGACACAAAATTCGATTTTTCAACTCGTAGAAATTTTTTTTTTCTCGTAATCACTCTAAGATGCCACCACTCAGGTTATGTACCGGCGACCTAACCTAGAAAAGTCCCTGTAAACGCGTTAACGCGAGTCCCACGATTACACTATATTATCTCGTATACTTTTCAACTTTTTATTACACTTCTCATCCCAGCGAATAATCTTACTCCACCAGTAATGGATTTCCTCATTTTTTCTTCATTCTCGTATCACAAAAACTCACAATTTTGGTCGTCAACAACTTGGAATAAATTGTGTACCCCAATGCCGGCATTTTTACCGATTATTTCAACGGTGTAACAGCATTGATGAACTTCAATCACTGTTTTCACCTCGGTTTTTAGTCCAGAAGCACACACACCCCCATTCCATTTATTTTTGCATCGGATTGGACCATGGAAAGTAAAACAATTTTTTTTTTCCACCTTTTTCACGATATCACACAAACACCACAAATGATCAGCTTCACAGTGTGAGACAGAGATGGAGTATTACTGCTGGAGTCAACTCACTACTTTTTTCAGGTGCGTCCAGGGGCCCTCAGTACCCCAACACTTATTTTCCATCAAAATAACAATTTTCCAATTTTCAAACATATCTATTCTATTTTCTATTATCTCCGATACTGGCTTTTTTCCTCTGTCCATTCCACTCCACCCCATTCTCGCAGGAATATTTTTTGCCATTCCATAAACATCCATTCTCCCTTTTCAAATACCGAAACACCCGCGAATATACGAAGATCATCGAGAAACGTAATTTTTTCGGTTTAATCATTTGTTATCTCACATGATCTCTAGTTTAGGTATCGATCTCGTTTATTTCCATTATTAAATTCCGGACGATCGGGTGTCACCTCTGACAGCCTTGACCCAATGCCACTCCACATTCCGATCGGTTTTCCATAATTTTAGAAAAAAGAAGCCTTTGAAAAATCACCTCGTCTGCATTCACGAGTGCAGATCAAAGTTCCAAGTTTTATGACACGCCGATGCCTGTTGCACGGTGATGGAGTTGTCTCGACTCTCGACGAAATTCCTCACGATTTCCAAAACCAAAGGGTCAAACCTTGAACCCTTGAGACAGATGTCCCCTTCCAAGACCTGACGCTCCAACTTTTTATTCATCCCCACGAAACCAGTGGTTTTAATTTCCATTCCGCTTTGTAGTAATGCATATATCCTTTTCTAATGGGCATCGTGGAAATGTAGAAAATAGGGGAAATGTGGAAAATGCAGGATGAATATACTGGTGGAACGTGACTTGTGGGAATCCGTAATTCGCCCCAGTGATATCTGAAAATTCAATTTTTTTTCTTGATGTTCTGGTTAATGAACGGTTTATTTAAGAACCGTGACATGATGCACTCACGTGATGATTCCATTGAGAGTTGTCAGCTATGTACGGCCCTGTCAAAGTCTCTGCCGTGTGTATAAAACGTCAGAGAGACGCCGCAGGAATAAAGAGGTATTTTCGGTGAAGAGAGGAAGGGGACGAGAGAGAAGGATAGAGGTGGCACCCCTAGTTGCGTCTGTGTGCGTCAGTTACGCTTTCACCGTCACTGTTGCATGAGCTCTGTTTTTTTTTTCCTCACTTTTTCTCCTCCAGTTTGGGGGGAAAAAAATGAAAATGCTGAAAACGGGACACAGTGCGCCGTCTCGTGGTTGTAGAGGAGGTTGAATTTTTGCGAGAGATGGTAAAAAAGAATGGAAATAAGGAGTCGTATGAGACCGCGACAATTTTTTTTTTTTTTTCGTCCCGAGCATTTGGAATGAAGACGCATTCATATACATTTCGTTGGGGTGCGTTTCGTTGATCTCTCTTTCTCTCTTTCGCTCTCTCTCTCTTTTTTTTTCAATGCAATGGCAGGGGTGCCTTAGCGTGGCTAGAGGTCCCAGCGGTTGACAGTAGTGTCACCCTAAAAATCAATAAGGTTCAGCCACGGCCCTTTTTCAACCCCACTCTTTTTCATTACCCTGGAGGAGAGGGTGAAAATCTTCCCTCTCACTTTGGGGGGATTATGAGATGAGTTTATACGGCGGGTTCTCTCCTTGTGGAAGCCAAGGGGGTTTATGATTTATTGAATCATAATGTGATTGGAGGGAGATGGGAAAAATAAATCGGTGAAAATTATTCTCAAGAGACAAATATCAGGAGTGAAAGGGGATTGAGTAACAGGTCGGTTTATTTTTGGCATTTTTTTTTTGTCATTTATTTTTTTTTTTGAAAAATGTTTGTCAATCTGGGAGAGAGCGAAATATTTTTCGAGACCTCTTTTCTTGAGTACAATGATAGATGGAAAAATGGTCTTTACGCTTATTTGGCTGTCGGAGAAATTTGTTTGATGGGGAAATAGAATTTTTGTTTTTTTTTTTTTTGGTATCGAAATCAATGGGATGAATCAATTGAGTCGGTGTAATACGCATCGGCAGCATAGGTCAACGAAAATAGCGCAAATTGATTTGTGAGGAAGGAAAACGATGCAAAACTGCAGGATACTCACCTCGCAAGTTATTGGACCGGTTTAACAGGTTTTGAATGGTCGTTGCAACGATTTTGAATTTCGCGGCACATTTTAACGTTAAAATAGATAAAAATAAGAATAACACTTGCCATTCAATGAACAACTTTTATTCATTTATGTACTTTTCCAAGTTTACTTGTGTAATTTTCTCACGTGGTTTTCGAATTTTTGATAAGAGTATCCTAAAACGACCATATTCACTAATATGTCTAAGATCCATGAACATTTTGGGAGCGCGCGTCGATCATCATCAATTTCCTCATGCTTTCTATTAATATAAAAATTAAACTCCATAGAAAACATTATAAATCACAAAAGAAAAATATTTTCAATGGCTACTGGTAAAACAATTATCCACTTATACCGAAATGTGAGGGACATGTGGACGGTTCCTTTATCGATAATTCTCTACAATAATTTCTACGATCCAAAGACGCGCGCCTCCATGATTCATACAGTCTGTACACTTTTCTTTACCCTAGTTTAAACTTTGTATTCGTTTATTATCCAAATACAGAGTTGCATTTGTTTCCCTTCTAACTAATCCATATATATATTGTTTGGATGACCATATATACAGTATATACATTATTTTTTCATCGCATTGCGTTGTCTTGCAAACTTACAAGTGTTTTTCTTTTTAATAGAACACAAAATCACTCGAACACGTTCTCTCACATGTGAACGCTGCTCAATCAAATATACAAAATACTTTTGCTGTATTATTTGAACTCCTCGAAGGCTCATTTTAATTGGAATCAATGTCGATTCCCATGGTTCAACGAAAGAAATTCGTGCGTTCTGAAAATTCTACTCTTCATATGCGCCAGTAGAGAGATGAAATTGAGAATAAAAAATGAATTCACTGAGGAGTTGAATAAAAAATCACTTCTGTTCTTGAATTGTCAATATTTATCAATCTTTGAATCCTTCACTCTTCTATAACAAAATCAAATTTTTTCATACAGATATTTCGATGTGCTCTATTAGTGTAGTCACAGATGCACAATCATTTCGTCTTTTCGTACCGGTTATTATTTAAAAGTTATTATCTTTTATTCAACTTTTTTCATACCACTCGCCTACAGTTTTATTTACATCTTTTGGTACGTAAACATCCACTCGGATTTGTTTTATACGTTAAAAAAAAAACACGCAAACAGAATATCTTTCAATAATAGCAACAACAAAAGAAAAAATATCGTTTGAAAGAAAAGAGAGGAGAGGAAAATATGCGGAGTGAGGAGAACACTGCGAATACACATCTCCTTAAATCACCAATCACAGGCTCGCATAAGAGGGCAAGGACAAAAATCATTAATTTTCTCTATAAAAATCAACAGCACGTACTGCATATTTTGGATTTAATGTAGCCATTTCTTTGAATCTTCACTTGTTTGATTATTTTTTATTTTCCTTTCATTTAAACTGGCAATTAAATGTGCGGTATTCGTTAATAGCGCAAAAAAATATTTTTCCCCTGCCTTGAATAATTCAACGAGAGTGAAAATCAACAGAGACAACGGCCAATTAAAAGAAGAAAAATTTATAAAAATAATGCGTATACCGGGTGAAATAGAACAGTAGAAAATTGACTGTTGAAAAAACTAACGCAACGAAGTGGAATCTCATGATGCTTATCTTTGAATATGGAAAATTATTTCCATTCCACAATCTCCCAGAACTCCTTAGAGAATCCAAGAGTGATGATTGCACATAAAACACTTCTCTGTCGAGATTCTATCCCCTTAATTGGCTTATTTGGAAGTGGGAATGGTGGGCTGACCCATAGGTGGCACCCTGGCTTGTCCTCCAAGTAATTCCTTATAATAAGCGTTGAACTCAGGTGATAAATAGGGACTAGCTGGTGACATAGGTGGTGGAAAGAGTCCACTGCAAATGGCTGAATAATAGACAGGATCAAGCATACCCATACCCCCTGGAAGATACTTTCCAGCATTTGGCAGTTGATTGACGTATCCCGAGTTATGTGGAACGCTTGGAACAAAACCAGATGATATATTGGGCATGCTGTGTCGTCGATCCTGTCTCTGAGCTGTTTGAGCATTTTCAATGCTCATGTGTTGATCCCTAGTCTCACTCTTTCTCTTTTCAACACCATGTTGATGAGGATTGATACCCCTAACTGGATAAGCAGCTAGATGATTGAGATTTGGAATATTGGGTATTACCTGTTGACCAGTTGGCTTTCTCGAGGAGTACGGGGAGAGGCTCTCCACTGGTCTCACTGACAATTTACCATTCTGCATTCTCATTCTCTGACTCTGCACATTCATGTTAACACTATTTATCGATGAAATGGAATTACCATTTCTCACAGGACTAGGTAGTTGGGCTTGTGGCTTGGCTTTTGGATTTACCAGGGTTATCTCAAGATTATTAGAAGCCATAGTGCGACTATCAAGCATTGGATAGTTGAAGGGACTCTTCCTCGAAGACTCTTGAATTTTATCCTTAATCGTCACAGGCTTCATCTCTATACTCATTGAATTTGGCCTCGGCACCACTGGTACCCGAACAATCTCTAAATTTGGCCTAGCGAATGATTGACTCTTGTCCAATTGTTTAGCTGTCAAATCCAAAACACCACCTCCGTGATTTATCGTTGCACAAGGAGGCTGAACTTGCTGCACAACTGCTTGCTGATACTTTTGATGAGCCAATATGTCCTTTGGATTACCATAAACCATTCGCTCGGTGTGACCGAAGATTGACTTTGACTGTGTCACCTTTGGTGGTAAAATTCTCTCTCCAGAGTTGTTGTACCTACCTGGAGATATTGGTGATGTTGGTACTGAGCCAGCATTTGTGTAGAGCTGAAGAAGATTTGAATTGTTTGATGCTCCAATGTTGATGACTCTGTTGCTGCTGTTGTTATTGACAGTCGAGTTACAATTATTGTTGTGAGCTTTCGATGAACGAATTTGAGTCTCAATGTCTCCAGGTGATGGCAACATGTGTCCAATATCAGGTGTCACTGTAACGGATATCAACTTTGGTACATTGGTGCTGGTTGGAATAGTTGGAGATGAGCATGAGATATCGTCGTCTCGTTTTGGAGTGATAGGCACTGTCACTGGTGTTATCGTTGCTTGAATAACACTTGGCCTCGAGTCCAACTCCACAGCTGTCACTTCGAGTCCACCCTCCCTCAAAATCTCAAGTTTCCTTTTTTTGAACGATGGGATAATAATTTTATCACGACTCGAGTCACTCTCCAATTCCAAATCAATGACTTCAGGTGAATTTGGAGGATTGATTCTCTCTGTTGTGATAAACTGAGCTTTCTCACCGAAGAGAGGAATGTTCTCTTTACCCTGAGCCAGCAGAGTCGTTTGTTTAGGATTTTGGCTCTCCAATTTCAATTCTTTAAAATCCCTCTCTGGTGGAGGTGTGAGAGTCACTACAGCACTTGGATTCTGGGTGATTTGGTGAGGTGGAGCTGGTGGTGTTGGTGGTGACTGCTGATTATTAACGAGAGGACTATTCAATTGTCTTTCTAAAACACTTTGACTGTCAGTTGGTGTTGTTGATGGAGTTATACTAGTCGATGAGGTATTTGAGGCATTCGATGAGGGAGGAGGTGTTGGAGGATTCGACGATGGCATCGACGTTGGCATCGACGAAATAATAGTGTTTAGAGATTTTAGGCGTTCTGGTTTCACTCGAACACTACGTAGGGAAGAAGTCTTAACCTCAGTCTTTGGTTTGTCAACATCTGGCAGATGTGACATTGTTGAGAAGAGCTTTTGCATTGGAGGAGTCGGTGAAGGGGTTGGAGGTGGAGAAGGTGTGGGTTCGGATTTTATAAGAATAGGTTCATCAGATGTGGATTTCGTTCTTCTCCCTGCTGGTCGAACTTTCGTTTCTGAACCCTTCTGATGTCTCTCGTATGGTAGAAGTAGTCTGAAAAATAAAAGCAAATCATCCCCATCATAAATAACACAGCTCCTCCATTTATTTAAAAAAAATTCATTAAATACTCTAATTACCTTTCATAATGTCGACGTGTTATTGTAGCTGCACTTGTCGATCCAGTGTGACCACCCATATCATCGTAAATAGATTTCCACAGACGACCAGCACTCACTGAATCGTATCCACCCAGTTTCTGGACTTTTGTGTAAAATACATACAAATCAACTGTAAATGAAATATTCCATCAGTTGATTCATCTAAATAAATTCAATTTAATTTTTTTTATTCTGTTCTCTTGATTTATTTACTCACTCTGTCTGTATCCAAGCAATGGCATTTTTGTAACTGGTGTTCCACGTGAGCTCATGAAGTTCTGTACATCAGCGAGAAATTTTTTCTCCTCAACACTGGCTTTCCTTTCGCTTCGCCGAACAACATTCGACGGCCCTTTAACCGTTGAGTTTGAGTTTGACGTTGAACTTCGCGAAGTCGAAGCAACTGAAGCCTCACTTTCATTACTTGATTCCCCTGGTGAGGCACTACGCTTTTTACGCTTCCTTCTGGGTCTACCTTTCAATTTGGGCGCTGTTAACGATAAAAAAAAATTATAATTATCTTAATACAAAAACTTGAAGGTATTTTTAATATTAAACTCATTGCAGAAGAAGATATCGGTGATTTTATGTCGAGGTGAGAATGGAAATAAAAAAAAGCACTGACATGGATGCTACGGATTAAAAATTGCTGAAGTGTGTGGAAAATTACGCTGAACTCGATTAAACTTCCAGTTTCCTGGGAATTTGAGTACAAGTTATTATTCAATATTTCAAGATCAAAACATTGGGAATTGAGATAAAATTTTTTAGTATCGTAACTTCTATGCGTTTCCTTGGTTTTCCTCCCTCGCTCTGTGAGCGACACCGGTATCAAATCAAAACAACGGAACACGTGGCGACAAAGGAAAAATTCAAGGACAATTCCAGGAAGTGTTTACACTGCGAAAATTCGATAAAACGTAATGCCGATGATTACGATGATTAAGAGTTAAAATATAAATAATACAATTGAAACGAACCCAGAATATTCAGATAGACGACTTGATTGTTCCGTATCTTCATAACAATAGCCATGATGATTGTGTGAATGATTTTTTTCGTACGAAAAAAGATGAAAAAAAAAAAACAAAACACTTGAGAACTTCTGGTAGTATATCACCGTTTTAACTACACTTTTATAATATTTTTTTGTTCACCGCAATATAGTTGTCAGCGATAAAAGTAATTGTTTCTGAGATATGAAAAATAGGAAACACGTGATTACAAATGTACGACGAAACCGACTGCCGGGTGACGAATGAGTGCCCCAGCCTTGCCGGTTTGTGCAAGTGTAAGTGATGGTTTAGGGTATGTGAGGGAATATATATATTTGCCAAAGTACATGCCGTCACTCATTGTCACCAGGAATTTTGAATTGTTTCGGGGTTATGGCCTCTAGGTAATGAATTTAATCAACGATATTGTTGTGTCTAGGCAATAATCAACGATATCAAACAACACATTTTTTTTTCTGATTCTCGGAATGCAGTGTGTCGGTACATTATCGACTGTTCTTCACTGCACCGAGTGTGGACTCGACTTTTTTTTTTTTTTTAAAGTGAGAGGGTGGGGCAGATTGGGAGATATCTGTTTTACAACAGTCTTTAGTACGGCAGGAGGTGGCAATTACTTCTAGAAATTACTGAATGCATCCAGCATGTGTGTAATGGGAATTAATTTATGTTATAATTTTTTAATTCCCTTACAATGTAGAGGTCTTGACTCTTTTGGATATTTATAGAAATCTCTTGGACTACTTCAAAAATTAAAATGCATTCTATGATTTCTGGTTACATAATTGTTTGCTCTGAGATTTTCTGAAAGCCTTGGCAGACGTGGAATTTTGATAATATTGACACTAAAAAAAAATGGGGAACTGAGAATTATATTTTTTTTTTTCTTCACAGGAAATTCGAATATTGAATCGAATATTGCAGAACAATTTGTATGCAATTGTAATAATGGAAATTGTTTTCTAATTTTAATTGAATATTTTTCTCTTAGAGTGTTGTATTTTAGAATGATAAAATCACCTAAATGATTGCATAGTAACTCATGCGTCTCCAGATCCGGATAATCAAAAGTATCTCTGCAGAAGAGAACTCTGGTACCAGGTAATGCAGTGAAACCACCTAGAGCAGCAGCAATGGATGAGCAGAGCCATGCAGGTTCAGCACCCTCGAGTCTTCTCAAAAGTGCCCGATACCTGCAGTACCTAGGATACGACAGGACAACAACTCTTGTTTGTACCATCTCATCACTCCTCTTCCCATTATTTCCACTGCTCTCCATATCCTTCTGCTGTTTTTCCACATCGGAAAAATCGATGCCAGGATCTGTGAGGACTTGGGGCTGCTGTTGAAATTTTTCATCGATATTTTCACCGGATCCACCAGGACTCGAAAAACATACCTCCCGACCCCATGACCACTCCAAAGACGGTGCCAACCATGTCACAAGGTCATGAACACGAACAACTACTTTTTCTGATATTGTCAGAACTTCGTCCTGGAACAAATAACAATTGATTAATTAACAATTGTCTCTCACCAATCATTTGGAACTAAAAAATACGAGGGAATTCATGGAACTTAAGAGAACTTCATATCTCATAAAATTTCCGAGGGACAGTTTTATTTTTATTACTGGATTTTTTAATATTTATTTAACTTTTCACGTGGCAACTGAATTCCAGTCGGTAATGCTGGAATTTATCGACATTTTCCTGAGACTCCACCCACTCAATTTTATTGCCAAAGTTATCACGAAATTCCTATATGAATTATACATTTATAACTGATTATCAATTCTCGCGGGGTATTTTCAATTTAAAATCGAGGAAGTTTATGGTTTAATTATACTAAGATTGTGGATTTATTTTGACGAGGATGTGTTCTAATCAGAGTAGGCGAGTCAGTTTGAGATAATTCTCAGCTCTCCCCCTCTATTTTCTCACTTCCACCCATTTAAGTGCCTCAAGGACAAATGGATTTTTTAATTTTGTAAAATTCCTATTGCCAATCGCCTCCGATATTTACTGATACCTATTTCAAAAGAGGAAATTCTCGGTAAACCGAATGCGATGCTCTTGCATAAATAGGAGTTATTAAATGAACCATTCATTTTATGGGCATGTGTAAGAGCTAGTTGAAAGATACATACACACTGAATAATTGAAACTAAAGTGAGAATATATTGGTGGTGGTTGGTTGCTATGGCAATTTCACCAATGGTACTTCCGAACTCATCGATAAGCTATCAATTCTCTAATATATATATCCATATACAGCGCTCGTTCGTTAAATATTTTTCAACTAGTATCACCACTGGATACCGCAAATTATTCCACTCGCAGGTGTCATAAAGCCAAGCCAACAGAAAAAAATTGACAAACCGATCAATTCCTCTAGATCTCCCTCGATTTTTCGATTATCACAAAAATTTCGCGATCCAATTGGATCCCAAGATATTCATTGAAAGCTGATTAATAATCAAAATCAATTTGAATTTTATTTCAGCAACTGAAATATTTCAATATTCAATACATAAAATTAATGAATTTATTTTCTTTAATAAATAATCGGTAGTATATATGCAGATTATAAATAGATTAGTAATTCGATTTTTTCGTTCTTATCAGTAGATTCTGATGTGATTTAGTATAGAAAAGTGATAGAGAATTTATTGAATATTTATTGAAAATTTTTCTGGAATATGGAATGATGATTATTAATAAAATACAATGGAATGCGATGAATGCCTCGGGTATATGATGTGTATATACAGGGGTTTGGAACATTGCCATCAAACGATATCGTGCCGGATTACATAGGAGTAAAAAGGGGGTGTTGAAACACCAAATGGAGGAAGGGGGAGGCATCGTTTTTATATAATCGATGAAGTTACGATGAAATCATTTCCTACAACATCACATCTTCCATTTCGTGTTTTCAATTTACCAACGTCTCGAAAATTCAAATTTCAATCCAAAACTATTACGTAATTGCTTCAACTCAAACGAAATGAATTAACAGTCTCTTATAATTGAGGTCACATAAGCAATGTCAGTTCTAGGAAAATTGATGCACGTATAGCTGTTCTATCAATTAAAATTCTTCATCTAGTCCTTTATTTTTCGAACAAGAATAAATAAAAATAGCAAGAATTTTATTCCCACGATAACAATTTACTATTTTGTAGGATAAAAAAAATGATGATTTCAGGTGAAAGTATGCGATGGGTTAATGTCAATTACGGGGGATTAATTGAACATGAATATTCCGAAAATACCGACGATTATCAAGACAATACGTCTGCTGTATCTATTTCAATGCAATCGAATGATGTGGTTCATTAATGGTATTCAATTATTGCTATTTCGATTACGTAACTTGGTAATTCTTCAGGATTGGAAAACAAATGGCTGAGGAAAAAACCTGTGATACATAAACGCTGTCTAATGGGAAGTCTCTATTAGTAATTTGCATTGCAAGGTAAATGAGAAATCTGTGTACAACTAATCGCAAAGTTTCCTCGTAAAATTTGTTTACAGAGTATGTCCACAGTAATACACTTATTCGACACCAATGCCGTCATCCTGTACAGCAGTGGTACAAGTGTTTTTATTGTGTATTTATTTCAATGAAACCCCTCGAGAAGATGATAAAGTACATCTCCTTAATGAAATACAATAGAAACATTAAAAAATAAAAATGAAATGAAAAAGGATTGCGAAGGAATAAAAAATGACAGATTGGAAGAAAAAGAAAAAAAAATGGAAAATTGATAATTAAGTCGTGTAAATGAAATCTATCGATGTGGAGATAGACTAAAGATAAAGAACAAACTTCCCTGAGTTGTTCCGAAAATATTTTCATAACGCTCGTTCAGGCTGGCATTGGTGATATTAATTATCGTCGACAAATTATCGCATGCACCGTTGCTTTTGACGGATAACGATTCTCGGTTGATAGCATTCCAATGGGAGATCTCTGCTCTCTTTTGTACATCAGGAGAGGGGATTTGACAAAATGGAGGGGATGCACATTGTGTTTAATGCGCACACTCAATATACCCAGTGATTCTGGCCTGCCTCGAAATCAATTCCAAAAATTCGGTGCCCGTCGTTGCCAATGGCTTTGGGCAAACGACCGCTTCTATTAGTTCAGGCCCCTCGATTTTACTCCATAGCAACTACAAGTATTTTATTGCCACTGCGATAGCCATTGAAATGGGCAATCCAATTTTTTTTTCACATTCTTTCGTCGTTTCCTTGGAATTTTATGAATTTTATTATATATTTCCAAAAAAAATATTATAGATTTTTATATATTTCCAAAAAAAATATTATAGATTTTTATATATTTCCAAAAAAAATATTATAGATTTTCCAATAGATATTGCAAAAATTATCCATGCCATCTCATGTCCCAATTATTATTTTTGTTATTATTTTTTTTATTTTTATTGTTGCTGTGTTAACAACTCAATTTTTAGTATAAAACGTAGATTAACACAAGGGAATTTTTTTTTAGGTCAGTTTTTAGCTGATATCTCAGAACTGAGGATAGATAGCAATTTTTTTGTGGATACATTTTTTGTAGAGAAAGATGAGAGCTACGGAAATTGTTATTATGAAAATATCACTATCTCCTTTCAATTCCAAGATATTTGATAAAAACTGGCCTAGAAAAAAATCACTCATTCCAGTTTACGATTCTTCGCGAGAGAAATTGTTTGAGGGAGACATACATAAGCACGACCTATGTATTCAACTCAATTTACTATAGACACAAGTTTATATATTAATTATAAATTTATCTAAAATAATCTAAAATCTAAAATTATCTCAAAAAAAGAGTGCATTGAAGAAGTTTAGATAAAAATTCTGTTGAAAATTTTTGTTGTTCCATTGATAAATATAATGAAGTTAATTGAAAATAGGTGGACAATTATTTACATCTTCATTAATATTTATTGACGGAGAGAGAAAATACGCAAATACTATATGCTAAGTGCGACAAATAGAATAAATATTCTCTTGCATTCATATCTCCTATCACTGGGATATCAGACGTGCACGATTTTCCAAATCGTACGAATATTATACTGCATCAGTTAAACTTCTCACTGAAATATCTAGAATAATGAGGTAAAATGAATTATTCAAACTAGTCGTCGCTTTATCCGAAATAAAATGATTTAGATTGACGAAGAGAAATGATAGGAGCATATGATTACGTGCGTGAATTTGGGGGATGGGAGGGAAAAAAAATAATTATATAGTACAGGGCAAACAGACTTGTATTTTAGTTACTATAGTAACAGGAAAACCGGTGAAATATTGTCCAAGTGGAGGGGCGGTGGAGAGACCATGAAGAGAAATTCAGAGAGGGGAATAGACTGAAGAGGTGGGGAAACACCGAGAATATTTATGAAACCACGGGGTATGTTACCCTTTTTTCCTCCACAATTTATACAAAAACTTTGCTTCTAAAAATTATTTTTGTTCGACGTGAGTTTCACAAATAAAACCCTAGCTTTAAAATAGCTTACCTTAACTAATCGTATGAATATTTTTATGGATTCTTTTATTTCATATTCACGATATCCTGACATTTTTTCGTTCATTGTTTATTTAGTTCAATTGTCGGAAAAATTGGAAATTCTGCGCACGTGTTTCGTTGAAATTAAATTATAGATTATTGTCCGGAAAATTTAGACAATCGGAATGAAACATTTCCACGGTTTATTTGTTTCATTGATAAATGGATTTATATTTTTTATTTCCACGGTATTTATTTTTAAATGGAATAAATATTTTAGTTCTTCCCGAAAATCGATTGAAATTCAAATGGATTTCATCAAAGGCGATTTGATTCTGCCATTTTTTTCTGCCATTTTTTTCTGCGATTTTTTCGAAATGAAATTATCCGGCGGGATGTTGATGAGGTTTTGCTAATTCACGTGATAATTTTTCATGAAAGATTTCCCATTGCTCATCCAACTACGGATGGACACTCACATACTTTCTCATGCATATATTTTTTTAATGCGGAGGAATGACGATGATGACTGTTCAAATTCTCCAAAAGCGAGGAGTACGATGGATACGAGTCAGTAAATGAGTTTACAAGTAAATATGTAATCATCCCGGAAATGAGGGAATAAAATGATCACGTAGAGAGCAAGACATGTTATTCTTCATGGAGGAATGTTTTGTAAAAATATTCAAGAGATATTTGTCGTTATTCCGTCAAAACGAACTATTGAATTTGTTTTCAATAAAAAATTCATTTTCTCAGATGAATTGTTAATAATAATTTTCATATTTTCCGACTTCTTCAATAATAAATCAGGACTAATATTGTATATAATAATAATAATAGATAATATATAAAAATTTTAAATTAAATATTATAAATATGAAAAAATGATAAATGAAATTCGAATCACTAATCATGCGATTTGGAGTCTGAAAAATGTAATTTGCAAAAATCTCCCTGAGG